ACAAATCTAAAAGGATTCTTTGTTAAAGTGGTTACTGGTGTAACTAATGTAAAGTATAAGCAACTTGTATGACAAACCAGTATGTGCCATAACAATGATCTCATGTCATGCATTGCACCAGATTAAAAAGTTTCCGAAAAGGATTTTACAAAATCTCCGAGTTATATGTCAAGTAAAAGGCAAAAGGTTACCCGGCTTGTACAAATGTCAAGTTGTGTTAATACAGACAATCATCTTGCTCAAAACTGTGCAGATCTGTCACCAAGATGAGAAGCAACTATAGCTGCTTTATCAGTGCTGACAACACCTTTCAGGTAAGGTTTGTACATTAAAGGCAAAGGTCAGTAGAACAAGGGCAGGCACTCTACACACACAGCAAGACAAGGAGTGACTGTACTCCGGCTGATACTCAACTTGGGCCAGAGCAGATTGACTATGCAAGGCAATTAGGGAGCGCGCCAGTAAAATGGTTCTACAAATCATTCTCATGACTCAAAAGTAGGCAGTTGTGACTGAAAAATGACCCCGTCGGTACAAAGGACCTTCATGGAAACAATCTGTAGACCCTGTGTTTGCTATAGCTTCTTTTTGAATCCTTAAACTCTAGGAATTGGGTGGAATTTCTAGAAAGGAAAGACATGCCAATTTTAGACTGGGCTAGATTGGAGGTGAAATAAATCATATAAAACAAGTAACGCTTTACATTAACAAGTTTTACTTTATATATTTTTTTTGCCAAAAAGCACCATTAACTAGTTGACAAATGTACAAATAAGGAATTTCTTCCAATTAATGAAAATATATTGTAGTTGGACTTTTTGAGTTGGAAATAAAGGCAGACATTAACCTGCAAAAAGGAAAACTGATATAGGTCTATCCTTAAATGTAATGTTCCTCTTTAAATTGCCTCTAGGGAACAACACATTTTAATTAGCACAAAGCTTAATTTGCCCTTTTGTATTAGTGACACACCACATGTACAACAGTGTGGTGTTATTGATTTAACTGTTTCAGCCTATTCAACTGTTGCATTGTAAATCACTTATAAATGAGAGCATCCAAACAAGCATGCACATGCCGCATTCACACTTTCAATCACTGTCTACAATTCTGGTTTACTAGCAAGTACTAACAGTTTCCTGTAATTAGACTACTCTTATTACTAGGGATGCACGATATTGTTTTTTTGAAACCGATACCGATACCTTCCTGCTTCTCAAGACCGATACCGATAACAAAAAAAAATGTACGCCACTAATTATTTTAACGCGAATAACGCATGTGTATTTTTTTTCCTCGGCCGCCCCGTAGTTTCAGAGCGCATCGAGTTTAAAATACCATCTACAAGCTGATGCTGACAGCCCCGCTCCTGCCGCCCGCTTGTGGCAGACCACACTTCCACGCTCACCGGCAGGCACCGACTGGCTGTTGGGAGGACCGGGAGGGTGTGTGTATGTGTGGCCCGAGCGAGCGAGAGAGAGACCTTACGTGCATTGTTGTTGTTAGCATCTGGTGCTAGCTAGCTGCGCTAACGGATATACGGAGCTGTTTAAATGAAAACAGAGGAGCGACATTTCGCCACAACTGCGCCGAGCACTTGACTTTATGCAGGAAGCCAGACAGTGGGACATTGTACGAAAAGTCAGCACACTCAGCACGGATAGTGCGCAACATGATTGCAGCGTCCAGGCAGCTCCCGTTCGAGCATATGCCTTGAGTTGCACATAGCTCCAACGCCCATACCACCGACAACATGTTTGTTTACTGTCCTGGATTCACGAGTTAGGGAGCGCTGGATTTGTGAAAAACTCCCCTCTTCCTAAACCACTAATACCACAGTACTGGCAAAACGGGAGGAGCCGAGTGAAAAACAAGCGCCCCTCATCCCAATCCACCCACACCGCAGTATTTTTTTCTTTTTTTTTTACCCAAAAAATATATTGTATATTATCGGGGCTATTAATACTGGTATCGGGTTTATCGGGATGACGTCATAATTCCTAATATCGGACCGATAATTATCGGGCCGATAATTATCGGGCCGATAATTATCGTGCATCCCTACTTATTACAGATATTGAGTCCAGCTAAAAGAGGAATCAAGACACAGAGAAGCCATAGCACCCCAAGTAATAGTTAGAACAATAACAAATGCCTTTATCTTTTTCAAACAAAAGCAGAGCCTACGCGATATAAGTTTCAAAAAAATCAACAAATAGCAAGTATTCTAATTTACAAAGTAATGACTGACTCTACTAGGGAACCACCAAGCGGAAAGCAACTAACAACTAACTAAGGCTAACACGTTTAATCCAGACATATCATTTGATACAATTGATGAAACATATCAGTGTTTCCCCTACCATTGTCTTGGAGGGGCGCTGCGCCCCACCAACGGAGCCCCGCACCCCCCCTGAAATTCAAGGTGTTTAAAAGTGTTTTATATATATTTTTTATATATATACATAGCACCAAATTGCAACTAATCTATATCAACTGTCACATTGAACACGTGCTCTTTTATTAAATAATGCTTTCATTTTAAATTGGGAGTTTAGTGTTTTTGACCCTAAGAAACACTGATGCATTAATCAATAACAATAATCCACAGCTCCTCTCTCTGTTCCAGAGGATTTAAAAAATATATATCCCAATGCCACCCCCTCGCTCAGACAGCAGCACCGCACCCCCCCCCCCCCCCCCCCCCCCCCCCCCCCAAGCAGTAACCTAATGGAAACACTACATATTGATTGTCTCCAACAGAAAACATAAAGATAGACAATGATAGGACCCTTAATGTCGTTCACATCACAATGTCAGGAATTCTGTCTGTTCAGATTGGCTCTTAAAAGTCCTGCATAGAGCACGATAATCGGGGAGGGGGCAGCCCATTCAGATAAGGTACTCTTCTCTCCAAGCAGGATTTATTTAGGGGGTGAAGATAAGGGCTGCAGGGTTGGAATACTGTGCTCAATGGGCCGGCCAAGAGCTGAGTGGTAAGGTGCAGGCCAAATGTCAGCATCACACAACACAGACCAGGCTTCCATCGGAAAACGGTTAGGCCCAACAGTGCTATACTTCAGACAGAAAGCAATGCCAGCTAAGGACCCAGGTACAACAACATGGCCAGTAAAAGGCTTGCATTGTGTATTCTGATGGAACCTATTACTCATAGCTAAGCATGTCGGCTGCTTTATGAGTTAAATGTCCTGATTCACGGGCCTTTAGAAACATGAGTCTTCAGTCCACATAATTTTGGTTTATGGGTAGAACGAAGAGCCCACACCCTGCTACCTCAGAGCTGCCTGTCTGGGCTCAACTCTCTCCAGACGTGCAGAATGGCTTTGGGACACACAGGGAACTCCAGACCAGTCAAAGACAAGAGGTTATTTGATTAGCATGGAATTTTATTAAGCTGTGGGTGGAGTTGCATGGTGGCAGAGAGAGCCTCATCAAAAGGCCTCCATTCATTGATCAGGCAAGATTGCAGAAAAGGGAAAAAAAGAGGAACAACACCCTTGTGTGTGTGGCTGCCAGCAGGAACAGTCCCCACAGCTTTTTGCCATTAAAAATGCAGAACGTGTGCACTTTTTTAGGTGAGTTTAATTGCCTTTTTCTGCAACAGGATGGGAGGTCACAGAGACTAAGAAAGTTTTCTTTTCAAAAGACAGCTATCCAGAGCAGCCTGTACACAAACACTTCATGTTGGCCGTGTGGGTGGTGTTTTAGGACAAGCCCCCTTTCCGAAACAGACTGCTTCCCCAATATTCCTTTGCTTGTTAAGTCAGACCACAGGCTAATACATCCAATGAAGATCCAGGAATCATTCATCAAATAGTATGACCTAACGTGAACAACACCTGAATGAGTTACAACAAAACTACTACCTGACTAAGTTACAGTAAAACTACTGTACACGCAGATTAAGAAGTACCAGTCACTCTTTGTTTATTCAGTGCTGGAGTAAAACTGTCATACTTCTGGTGAAATTCAAACCGAAATGTGCAATCTAATTACCAATATGAATGTCTGTTTCATCACACTAAACATACGAGTGCAACTGCTCCCATGAGAGCAACAATTCTTGTGAAAACACTCCACTGTCACCCAAGCTGAAAGGATCCTGATATCAACAAACACTTGACTCAACAACGTCCCCCTTGGCATCCACTCCATGGTGAGTCAGTTGCTGGGATTGCCTCTTGTAATACAAACCTATGAAGGTGTTGCTTTGGGGTTTAGCACGTGGCAGCAAACGCCTTCTTTCTTCAGACAGAAGAGTCACTTCATGAGTTGTCAAGTGTATACAGGAAGAAGCCAGTGACCTCCAGCAGGTGAACTGATGCAGCTGGAGGTCTGCAGGTTACAACAGGCTGCTGGCAGCCCTATCACTTTAAATTAAGCTTAGATAAGTATTTCTAGAGAAACAGCACCTGACCACCAACTTCCTAGTGATCTAAAAAAGCTAAATAATGCCACCACAGAGCCTAATCAGATTGTAGTGGGTGAAGGAGACCAATACAGTTGATTAGATCTAATAACATGACTTGTTTTACCTGGCCTGGCCAGTGTTCTGTATTGTTGAGAACAATAACACGGTTCCCATATGTCAGTCTTGTTCTGTCACCTCACTTTTCATTTCTGATGAGTTATTAGAGCTAGTTTGTCAAGTACTGACAGTACATCATCTTTTAACATAAAACCTAATGCAAGTAATTACCACGTTATTGCTTTTGCCTGCAAGTTTATGACTGAAGTATCAAACTACTGATTATTTTCTAATTGCAAATCTTTAATATAAACACGAACACACAGGTGTTTTATCGTGATTTAGTGTGTGAGTAAAACTGGCCTGTCAGTGACAATATCAGCACATTCCTTCAGTGACAATTGAGAAGACTTGTTGGTCTCGGAAAGAATTTCTGCTCCAAGGAGTAGACTGACCCCGAATGGTTGACTCGCTAGCCGCCTAGCCAGCAGCTAGCAAACTACAAACTTACCAGAAGACAATCCGTGTTTACTTCTGACTTTGGGTCCTTCAACATGGCATCGATTTTTTCAAATCGAGCCGCCATGCTTTCCCCAGCAGACATGTTTGCTGTTAAACTCAGCCCCGATGTTGGTTTGTGAACAAAAACAGCTCACTGGCGAGGCAGAAGGCTGGCTAGCTAGCTTTAGCAGCAGCCAGCGGTAGCTAGCTAGCCAAATGTTCCTTTCTTCGGGTGAACTTTACACGGCACTTCAAAGAAAAGACATCGTTCTCCTGCAGCTTTCACAGACGATGAAACGTTTAAGATTGCGTTGAATGTACAAAAGCCACATTTTCAGAGTCGAAAGATGTTTTCCTTGCAAACAACTTCAGTGGCAAAAGATAAAGTCGGCGACAGATTAGTCAGCCTCCGCAGGATGCCACTGAGGATAAGGGCTTAAAATGTTGGTGCATCCAAACAAAAGGCAATTAAAAGTTAGATGTAATGTCTTTTTGAAAAGCACAGTTTACGGATATGTTAGTCCAGACTCGTTCCCATATTTTGCCAGGCCCTTGCAGAAAACGACAATAGATTCTGACAGCTCAAAAGTAGAAGTGGTGGGAAAAAAACTTCTGCTTCTTCCAAATTTTGATCAGTTTAAACACGGAGTCGTTACAACGTTTAACGGCAGTGCTTCCGCGGCATCCCGTGCACTGTCAATGACTGTCGACTGTTTCCCGTCCACATAGATACATCTCTCAGGTCGAAGGCATACAAATCGGCTTTAGATATGTGTTAGTTTTCGGAAAAAAACAGCAGACGATGCCCGATTTTCTCCCACAGCCTGACCAACATGTCCGCCTTCCTGTTCAAACACCCCGGAGAAGCAACTTCAAAATGTCAAGCACTGCGCATGCGCCCTGACGAAGTGCATTCAAAGAGTTCACAGACTGATAGCAACATGTTGCTGTTCACAATGTTACACTGTGGGCTAACCGTGAGCATCTCATGAGAACCCAGGGGAGAAGAACCATTTATTTAGTATTAGTGTTCAAATGTTTGCCTTCTTCCTTTAAAATGTTTGGGTTTTTTGAAAAGCTTTTGTGTACTTCACAATTTCGAAACGTTTTTTATGCAGACCATTTCGATTTGCCTTTCAGTGATAGTAAGTAGCCTACCTATCATGTAGCCTACCCTTAGTTATGATGTGTCATATTTATATTGTTTGTTTTTTTATGCCCTATTCAAATATATTCTATCCTTTAAGGTACATAAAGGTGAATGGATATTTCTGCAAGGGTCATTGTCAATAGGAAGCAGAGTTACACTAACTTACTCAAATAGGCTACTGTAATTAAGTCAATTTTTAAGATACGTGTACTTTACTTGAGTATTTCCATTAAAATGCTACATTGTACTTCTACTCCGCCACAATTCAGAGGTAATTGTGTACTTTTCCTTCACTACATTTATTTAATATATTTAGTTACTTTGCAGATTTGGATTAATGGTGTGACATGTAATCAACACTTAAATAAGACTTTAGTTATAGTTATTATATTATAGTCACATGTCCTATCTATTTGTTTGATGCAAAAGCTTCACTTTTTATAAGAAATAGTGGCTAGATAATAACTACCTACCTTTTAATTGAATCATTTAATTATTTTATGAATCAATGATTGTAAGGGCCTCACATAAGCGTCCACCTATATCAAATTAAATATCAAGCAAGTTATACAAAGCTATTTTAAAAACAAATCCCCTTTCTTCTTTACGCTGCAATCAGCCTCCTCCAGCGTTCATTCGGCATGTGAGCCAACAGAGGGCGGTGGTGTTCAACTTTAACATGACAAAGCACTTGTGTTCAGAAACTTAAGACCCATGATTTTAACATTGTCAAAACAAAAAAACGTGAAGCGTGCTCCTTAAAAGAAATATTATTTTTATTTATACCAGTAAATTAAAAAAAATTGTGAATTGTTTTTTGTTTTTTTTAAATCTACGCAATATGAAGCTCTTTATATCAATGTATAAGTTCTGTATATCTGCCACCTGAGGGAGATGTTTTCACCTTAAATAGACTGATAAATACGGCACAACGGTGTCTTTATGAATTGTGTCCAACATTTTAGACATTTCCTTCATAATAACTGTTTTCCACAGCATGCATGGATGTGTGTAAGTATCTATCATTCAATGAATTATTCAATCATATTTTGGATGTTTGATTTGTTTTGTCTATCTGTTTATTTTGTAATGTTCTACTTCCTTATAATTGATTTGTAGTTGCTGTATATGCATGCCATTGTGTGTATTGCAATAAAACAAAAGTGTATTAGAGAGCAACCTTATTATTATAGGCCTAGTATAACGTCTGCCTCTGTTTACTCCACCTTCCTCAACATTCATACTTTATTTAGATTCAAAGGTTGTATTGGCATAATGCACATTGGCTACAGTGTAGTTATGTCAATGAAAAGTGTTAGTCCCAGGCTCCTTCAACAATGCAACATAATAAAGGACATCAAACAATACAACAATACAAAATAATGCAATAAGAAAATAGAATATAAATAAAACACTGCATGAGTATTTTGCAAGTGACCAATGTGCAAGTAATGAAGAAGTAACCTATATACATGTAAACTAGAATAAGATGGGCTTTAAACAGAATATAACATTTAAAAGAAAAACATTTGTGACGTATTAGTTATTTGTCTGACTAATCCTTTGTGTTGTTTTCCTCCTTTAGCAGAAACAAGCTGATGCGAACTTCTCCTCATGAACCAAACGGTGCGTACAGTAGCTCCGTGACGTCACTCGGCGGCTCCCTCTCCGTGCGCAGATCAGCTGTGGCAGCAGAGCGACGGCAGCAGCATAGCAGTGAGGTGGCGGTGCTCAACCAGCCACGGACCAACATTTAACCCACACACCCGACTCTACGTGGACACGACCGTGTAACACCGACTCTGCGTGCAGATAAAGGTAGGCGTGCAGTGGTTTTTCCGTAACTCCACTCTTGCTTAAAACGCATGTCATAAGGGAGCATGCTAGTGATCATAAAAAGGATCAGGCTGGGATCGCTCTCCGGAGGGTGGTCGCCTGTTATCAGGTCGGTCAACAGGGCTGGAACAGCTGCTTGAAGTTAGTGTTTTATTAACATTATATTAAAGCTAAGCAGGAGGTTTTTTTCGCCTAAATTAAGAATAACGAAAGGAAATAAGATATCATCACATCCTAAGCAAAGCCGGTCAGTAAAGCCTGTTTGTATGCCAGGCATACTGCATGAATATATTTTGTATCTGTTGAACCTGTTGATTATTTGCTCCATTTTGTTATCACAAATTAAGAGCATTGCCTAATGGTTTGGCTGTCAGTAGGACTCGCCCCCAAATGTGTACATCTCAGTTTAATGAGGTATCTTGCAGTGTGATATGAGTGTCAGTTAACTTTTGGCAAACCTGTAGCTGAAAATAAGTTAATTGAAACCTTACTTAAATCAACAGTCAACACATGGTCTAATCTGTATTTAAAGTAGTGTTAATCAGTCTATTTTTGCCTTAAATGCTGATTTTACCATTGTAGTGGTGAGAAAGGATGAGACGAGAGGCAGATCAGATCTTATTTGTATTAGTGTCAAATATGGTACAACAGGGCAATAATACCAAAAGCCCCCATTATACAAATATCACACACATTATATGCTTTTCCCCACCCACCTGGCATACGTAATTTAGTACTATAAGTCACATGAGATGCCAAGTTGTATCATAACAGCATCCAAATGAACATAACAAACTCTCCTGACCTCCTATTCTTCCTGATGTTTAGGGTCTTAGTTTGAAACCGTTCCCAGCATTGGAACAGGCCCTAATAACGTAAATTTTCTCTGTAACGGGTCTAATCTTTGTTCCTTCAAAATCTCATGTCACGCTTACCTGTTCTTATTGGCAACGGGAATACATTTCTATAGAATTCTTATTTAATCTTGGAAAATGTCACTACTGATTAATCGTTAACAGTCATTTCAAGTGGATCCAGGTCACACATGCACATGTTTGTCTGTTGAATACTTTTACAGTTGCCTAAGGCTCACTGTTGTAACAGGCTTCAGCAGCTGAGATAAAGTCATAGATAACCAGGACCCAGAGATATTTTTTGGTGGTTCGTCATTGTAATTACAGGCAAACCAGTCGGTCTTTACCAAATCTAATCTGCCATTCCTCATGTTTCATGTCCCAAAGGTTGCATTCCTCCGATCTCCACTACCCCACTGACCCCACTAATTACATGCACAATACAGGATCCTGCAAACTACAGCAGGGTTCATTTAATTAGATTGTAGAGAAACTGTAATGTCAAATAAGCGACTGAACAGCAACTATTTAGAATTTAAATATCCAACAATTTTATTCTAGGTGAAGAAATTCAATTTGTTTAGTTTAAAGATTCAAGATTCAAGGCTTTATTGTCATTTGTACATTAGCTACAGTGTAGATATGTCAATGATAAACTTAGGTCACAGGCTCCTCCAAAAGTGCAACATATATGACATAGAACAAAAATAAAACAGATAAAATAGTGCAAGTAAATACAAATAAAATAGAATAGAAATACTGCAAGAAGAGTATACAAATAAATGGAATATGATATATTAGATAAATAATTTGTAAAATGCAAACCGATGAATGTTTATGGATGTTCTTTCCAAGGTTCAGGTGTTTAACAGTCTTATGGCCTGTGGGATGAAACTATCCCTGAGTCTGGTGGTTTTAGTCCCGGTTAAAACATCTTAATCCGTGATCAGAACAACATCTAAAAGCCTGATTGTTGCCATTATTTGCCCATTTGTTATTCCAGACTCTCCTGCAACATGCATCCTCTGAACATACTTATAAGAAACATGCTTTAGGTCAGACAGTTAGTACAGTGTTATCTGAGTATACGAGGGTTGAGGATACGCTGGGTGGCCGTCTCGCCCCGAGCACGCGCAGCCCTGCCAGAGAGGAGAGGGCTGCAGGGGTCAGGGGGCTCTGAACGCTGACCATCTGGCCCTCAGGGGGCTGGTTTCCTCCCCGGCTGCCTTTGTTCACCCGGAACAATTGGGAGTTAATCTGGGAGGAGATGAGTAAGGCCTTGTGACACCACTCCTGCGTCGGACAGGTTTCTCTCATTAGCCTTGAAGGAGACATCTCCTTCCTAAGTTGCTTTGTGAAGGCCTTGGGCTGGGGAGGTTTGGTGCTGGACAGCTTTTTTGGGTGATTTCGGCAGATTATTTTTCAAACACGGGTGGTAAATTGACCCTATAGTAAGGAGTAAGGCATTTAAGTGTGATATATGTTTTTAACTGAAATATTTAACTGAAATTGGTATGACCCTTATATTATTATTACCTTATTATTATATCCCTTCTCACGAGGTTTGTTGTAAAACTCCTAATATTGAAAATTACGAACTTCAACAGTATGTCATTTATGAGAAGTAAACACATGTAGGTTCTGTCCTGGTTTGACTTTCAGGAATTATAATCAACCAAAATGAGATATGCTTAACTTAAAATGATGTATTCCACATTCAACCTCAAAAGATGCCCTCTTTAAACCTTGTTTTTGATCTTTTAAGCCTGCTGTTCAGGCGAATAGGTTTTCTAAAAATACTTTTCTGAACATTTCTGAAATGAAAAATCTCGACCAAGCTTGCGATAGACGACTACTTCATATCTTTTAGGCAATCGTCACCTGGGAAACCAATTATTTATTTTGCCTCATTATTCTCTCGCTATACTTTTGAGCACACCAGCTCTCCTCTTTTGCTTTTAATGTCTCGTGTTTTCTCAGATGGCCCTCAGTCTTTTCTCAAATGTTCTGTGGTAAATATAGA